GCACATATGTCAAAGAGAAAGTTTTAGTAGGAATTTCAAGAAATATTTTGAACCAAAAGAAAATAAAAATAAAATTTATGAAAATTTGTAAGATGCTGCTAAAACAAAGTTTAGAGAAAAATTTATAGCATCAAATGTGTATATATTAGAAAAAAAGAGAGATCCAAAATCAGTAACCTGTTTCTGCCCTAGAAAACTGGAAGAAAAAAGTGTAACTTATGCCCTTAAACCAGCAAGTGAAAAAGAAAAAAAAAAAAGAAAATAATGAAAACTAGAACAGAAATTATTTTAAAAGGCAAGAAAACAGTAGGTAAAATGATTAAAAAAAAAATCTGGCTCTTTGAAAAGTCCAATGAAATTAATTAACCTCTAACCAGGTTAACCAAGCAAAAAGAGAGAAGACAGAAATTACCACTACCAGAAATTAAAGAGGAGGCATCACTATTGATTGCATGGATATTATAAAAATACGGGGATACTACAAGTAACTATGTCCACAAGTTTTGTAAATGGATGAAATGATCTGAAAAAAAAAAAATTCTAGATTTTCTGAGTTAAACTGTATGGCTGTATTCAAATGTCTACAACAGAAGTGCATACTGTGAGAAGAAATTCAATAACAAAGTATCTTAGTAGCAATGCATTCTTGAATACAATTCCCTGGCTTTGAATATAAACTCCAACAGATCCAAGCCTTTTACCTTGATTAAGATGTTAAATTTCTCTAAACCTTGGTCTTAATTGCATGTAAAAGAACAATGATGGGGTGCCTTGGTGGAGCCTTTGGCTCAGGTCATGATCTCAGGGTCCTGGGATTGAGCCCTTCATCAAGCTCTCTGTTCAGCAGGGAGCCTGCTTTCCCCCTCTCTTTCTGCCTGCCTCTCTGCCTACTTGTGATCTCTCTCTCTGTGTCAAATAAATAAATAAAATCTTAAGAAAAAAATTTTAAAAAAGCAATGAAATAGTATTTTTTAAAGATTTTATTTATTTGACAGAGAGAGAGAGAGAGCACAAGCAAAGGGAGGTACAGAGGGAGAGGAAGAAGCAGGCTTCCCACTGAGCAGGGAGCTCCACGGAGGGCTCAGTTCCAGGACCGGAGATGATAACCTGAGCCAAAGGCAGACACTTAAATGATTGGGCCACCGAGACACCTCTATAATAGTATTTTTTTTAAAGTAAGGATTAAATATAAGAATGTACAAAACCATTGAATATATGCCTGAAACATGATAAGCAATACATAAATATGATTATTAATAATAATAAAAGAATACCAAAAATCATAAACATGGTTAAAAAGTAATTAAAATTTGTTATTATATCTAATTTAAATGTACATACTATTTAATGCAAATCATATTTAATGACCCGGGTGGCTCAGTCAGTTAAACGTCTGCTTCTGACTCAGGTCATGAATCCAGGGTCCTGGGATAGAGCCCCCTTTTGGGAATCCCTGCTCAGTGGGGAGTCTGACTCTCTCTCTGACCCTTCCCTCTCTTGTGCTCTTTCTCTCACTCTCTCTCTTCCTCAGATAAATAAACAAAATCTTAAAAATAAATAAAATTGTTTTCTAATATAAATATCACAAACACTCTAATTTTCCTGAAATACATTAATTCCACTCACAAAAGCTAAGAATTTTTTTCAATAGATTAGTTTAAACTCCATATTTTTTAATGATTTAGTTAAAAATTGATAGTTTTCTTAGAATGCCAACATGAATATTGTACATTTACACCCTTATATGATGCTCAACATAGTTAATCATCCAAAAGCATGGTACCAACCAATCAGAGTGATGTATGGTCCAGGAGGTATCTTACTTTGTTAAGAGGTCACTCTAAGATGGGAAGTCCTAGTGGAATTATAGGGAGGTGCAAGGTCATTGCCATATTGAGACCAGTGAAGAATGGCACATTTAGGTTGTGGAAAGTAGCTATTAACCTGACCATATTTGTACAGCTGGCATGGCCATATATGTTTGTACTAAATGAATATTACACAAAGAAAACCAACTCTACCCTGATTTTTTATAAAAAAGGTAGTTATGCAAAAGTTTCATTGATAAATTTTAGTTATTCTGATAAGTGTAAAAGAAAGGACAGCCTTTTGCTTGTAGTCACATCAGGCCAGAATTAGAGAAACTTAAAAAACTTGATCCAGGACCATATTTTTATAATTGAAGAAATTTTGACCTAGAAAGTTTTCCCACAAGACATTTAGTTTGACAAAAGAACAAGTTTTGGACTTCATATCTTCAGACATATTGATTGACCCTATTTTTCTGATAGCAAATTATAATTAATATTATTCCTATTATCAATGACCTTGTGAAAACAAGATTAATTATAGAGAACGCAATTCTACTATTAAGGAATTTATGTTTGTAATCCCCTTATAGAAATATTTGTTTTGGATTGTTAAATATCCTTCCAGAGAAATCAAAAGGGGAGGCTTAATAACATCCTTCAGTCTTAAGAAGTTGAAAAATTGTTCCTTAATCAAACCCCCAGATTTTGAAGTATAGCCAATATATTATATTACAGGGGAAATAAGGCAAAATTATGAAAATTTTGTCCTTTTTTGACCTTTTAACTTTCTGGAAAATAAAGTAAACAAAAGGACATTAAGTGATCTTACAATTTAAATGTGACTTAATGAATGCTGTATGACTGGTCTCACTAAATGACATTTAGTAATGCAGGCAGTCCTATCAGATAAATAATCTGCTCTGTAACCATAGCACTGGGCTACAGTACTGGAAATTGTTGTAAGTGTCAAAGGATCCTCTTTTTTTAGACACAAGGCAAAATGTTAAAGCAATAACGTGTTTTCATTATAATTTTCCCTATCATTAAATCACTTGGTTCTCCTTTTTTTACTTTAAAAATACTGACTATTCAAAAATGTACTCCAAGTTTCCTAAGCATTTTCCTAAGCCACTAATAGTGGTCATAAGTGTGTTTTGGGAGAACCACATTCTACTGGGACATTTCTAAGACTTGTCAGAATTTAATATACAGTTGTTATGTAGGGAAATGTCTGTTTTCTCTTCTATCCTAAATCAGGACCATCCTTAGACACAGGCAGGATCAATCATTATTCCTGCAGCACACATTAAATAATTTAAAAGAATAGATTGAAGTCTCAGTTTTTATTAGCTATTTACAATTTGATTTCTTATTGTTTTAATTTATCAGGAACCTGAATACCAAATTATTTGCACTTAAGGAATTAATAAGGAAGTGGAGGCAAAGTATGTCTGTGAAATTATGCCATGAAGAAGACAGGAATAGAATCATGAGTGTCTATAGAGAATAATTCTTTTTAGAATGTGTGAACATATTTTTTATACATAGTAAAAAGAGCCTGTTAAGAGGTGGAGATAAAAATGCAAATAAGACATAGCTGAGTAGTCTGTTAATGCTGTGGAGGATAAGATCTATATAGCAAAATTGTTGTCCCAGCCAGATCTAGGAACATCAGCTTCTTTCACTGTTCCTCAGGTCCTTCATCCTTTGCTGCTAATGGTTCCCATCTGTGACCTTTGGAGGATAACTTTTGATAACTAGAACTGGAAATGGACTTCTGAGAAAAAACCCAACTCCTTTGCTCCAGAAGGAATACATTTCAAGGTAGAATTTATTCTTCCAAGCTCCCCTGAAGACCAATCTGAGGCTACAAGTGCATCTGACATTATTCCTCTGTTTAGCCTCTTTCCTTTTTCAGTTCTCTTCCTTCAGACCCTTATTTTTTTCTCCTGGGAGAAATTTAACAAATGTTATGCACAAATGTTTTATCTCAGGGTCTGCTTTTAGAAAAAACAAGCTAAGCCTGATACATTTCATCATTTGATGCAAAACTGAGACAAAGGAGAGAAGGTAAAGATGCCGAGTACTTTGAATTTTAAAGGGTAAGAAATCCACGATGTACACTAAAGTTTATCTTAATTTCATTAAAATAGATAGCAAGAAATCCATCAAATTGTCATAAAAGGTGGTTTGAGACAGCACAATTTTAAAGGTTCTTCCAATAATAGTAGAAGGATTTCATAACCATTATTGGAATCCAATGAGGGTTTTAGATAATAGATGCTTTATAAGGGTTGGGAGGTTTGTGGTAAGACGGTGAGATGGTATCAAAAGTAGAAGTAATTTAGACCATGGAAGGGACAGAGGACAGGCTTTCATGGTGCAGTGTGATGTGCAGTTCAGGGACTAGAATGTACCATAATGCAGTGGGGGTAGCTGGAACCAGGTGGAAGGTAGAACATTCTGTGATTGTGCGTGGAAATGCAGGAAGAATATGTGGAAGTACCGAATAAATGCTTATCCAAAAGTTAATTTTTTAAACTAGACTTGACTGCCCTCTCCAAAGTATGGCTACTTACTCTTAAATGGAATACACTTAGTAATTTTGGGTGGAAGTGGCTCATTTTAAACTTCATAACATGAGAATAAAGATTAACTATACAAGATCCATTATGCCTTATTCATAAATGGCCAATAACAAATCAAAATGTATTTTTCCTTTTATTTAAACTTCAACAATACCCATAACTTATCAATTTGCTTTTTTCCCCTTTGTGATCTGTATTAATTTAAAAAATCCTTCTCTTTATAAAAGCAATAGATTCAAGTCTGACTGAGGGAGATGATCCTGATGGGTATGCATTTAATAGAAACTAAGTACATTCAGTAGCTTGGTCACTAATCAAGGTACTCTTTGGTACCCTCCCCACATAAAACCCACAAGGAATCTCTATTTTTTTAAACTACTTTACAGCAGTATTCTAAACACATATTGGTCCTCTCCGAAAATGTACACATGAAGGGGCACAAAATGAGGTTGAAGTGAAATGGAAATAAATAGAATGAGGGAGAGTGAGCCTCAACCACCATATTCTCTCTTTCTTTTTCCTCTCCTCATACTAAACATCCATCAAGAGACTATACTTTATTTGGATAATAATGAACTCCGATCCTTAAGTCTGTAGATAGATAGAAAAGTCCGTGGTGCCTTGGGCCAACGACCAGGATGTCCCTTTCTGCCCAGACTGTGGGAATAAGTTCAGCATCCGTAACCGCCGCCACCACTGCCCCCTCTGTGGGCCTATTATGTGCAAGAAGCGTATGGAGCTCATCAGCCTCCCTTTTGCAAACAAGCTCACCAGTGCCAGCAAAGATTCCCTGAGCACCCACACCAGCCCCAGCCAGTCACCCAACAGTGTCCATGGCTCCCGCCGGGGCAGTATCAGCAGCGTGAGCAGTGTAAGCTCCGTCCAGGATGAAAAGGATGACGACCGGACCCGCTGCTGTACACACTGCAAGGACACGCTGCTCAAGAGAGAGCAGCAGATTGATGAGAAGGAGCACACCCCCGACATTGTAAAGCTCTATGAGAAATTACGACTTTGCGTGGAGAAAGTTGACCCAAAAGCTCCTGAATACATCAGGATGGCAGCATCATTAAATGCTGGGGAGACAACCTACAACCTGGAACATGCCGGTGACCTTCGAGTGGAAGTGCAGAAAGTGTACGAACTCATAGATGCTTTAAGTAAGAAGATCTTAACCTTAGGCTTGAACCAGGACCCTCCACCACATCCGAACACTTTGCTGCTGCAGAGGATGATCAGATACTCAGCTACACTTTTTGTGCAGGAAAAGCTGCTGGGTTTGATGTCACTGCCAACCAGAGAACAGTTTGAGGAACTGAAAAAGAAAAGGAAACAGGAAATGGAGAGGAAGAAGATCCTGGAGAGACAGGTTGACGTGGAGTCCCAGCGACGGTCTGAGGAAAGGCGGAGTGACCTGGCGTCTCCTGCGGCCAATGGGGAGGTGGTGTCCCTTCGAGGGGGACCTGCCCCCCTGAGAAAGGCTGAGGGCTGGCTCCCACTGTCAGGAAGTCAGGGGCAGAGGGAAGACTCAGACCCCCTTCTCCAGCAGATCCACAGCATCACATCCTTTATTAGACAGGCCAAGGCTGCCGGGCGGACGGACGAAGTGCGCACACTGCAGGAGAACCTGCGGCAGCTGCAGGCTGAGTATGACCAGCAGCAGACAGAGAAGGCCATTGAGCTATCCCGGAGGCAGGCTGAGGAGGAGGACCTGCAGCGGGAACAGCTGCAGAGGCTTTGTGAACGGGAGTGGGAACGAGAGAGGGAGCAGTTCCGGGCTGCGTCCCTACATACACGGACTCGGTCCCTGGACTTCCGAGAAATCAGGCCTTTTCAGCTGGAGCCTAGCAGGGAGCCTCCTACCCACCTTGCTTATGCTTTGGATCTAGACTCTTCCTCGGTTCAGAGCAGTGCAGCCTTGGAGACCCCTTCGCCCATCTCAACTCTCGAGCCAGCCAGAGTGTGGTCTGGGCCTCCAGCCATCGGGCAGGAATCCTTCCCCCAGAGCATCATGTCACAGCAAAATGAGCTGGCCTCCCTGAACCCCTTCGATGAGGAAGACCCCTCCAGCCCCACAGCAGAGGGCACTACCAGCCCTCCTGCTACAGAGCCTTCCTTTGGCTCTAACACAAGCTTTTATTCAGAATTTTACTCTCTCTCTCTGCATTTTCATACACCATCTTGTAAAGTCTGAGCTCTACTGGATATTCTCTGTCCAAAACTTCAAGACATTTTACTTTTTGTTGTTTCACAGGGAAAGAAGCTGAAGATTTAGAGTGGCCACTGACACAAAAAATACTGTGAATTAGTAACTTTCATAATGGAGAAAATCACTCTTATTCTATATGTGGAATCAGTGAACTAATTTAAAAATATTAGCCTCTGAAAATTATCACTGCTCTTTTGTGCAGGAATAAGTATTACATCTACTCCATTACATGGGCTACCAATTTGAAAATATCACTAGGATTGTATCTAGCATACTAGTCCTTTCTGTCTAAAGAACAATTTCCTTCAATTTTCACTTACTTTTTTTTTTATTCTCTTTGCAATGAAAAAGCATAAAAAAGTAACTGTTCTACAGTCTAACTGCATTAGTTGGGAATATTTAATGGAATTCATATTTCTAGACTTCTTTTACCCATTTACTTTTTATTTTATTATTCTCAGTCTCACAACATGCTAAAAAATTTTTCATCATGGAGTATGTGAAGTCCTTAATAATAATGTGCTGGTTGATCAACAGGAGTATCTAAAGATATTTCATTTCTCTAGCTCTGATTATAGTGCCCAGGAAACTCCCATCCTCCATATCCCAACTATACTCTCTGGTTGGAGGAAAGCAACTAATGAGATGATAAATCTTGAGATCGATAGAAAGAACACCCTCATTTTCTACATACTTCATGCTAGTAAATAGTATAAGGCCCCTTTCTTCAATAATTTTTTATAATAAAATTGAAGAGATAACACATTTTGATATTGAATATGAAAAGTAAAAAATTGCCATTGGAAAAATTAGTCCTGTCACATTTTTTAGGAAGTGTGCTTCGTATAATATAATCAGATTTGTTTAACTCATGATATACTCACTGGGGTGAATTTTTATTTGGGAAAGATTATGAATAAGTGCTAGCAAACTGTTCCAAAATGATGGTTGCCACTTTATATCCATACAGTTTCCTCATGCACTTTGAAATGGATTTGAGATATCTCACACACTCAAAAAAAGATAAGACAGACTATATATTTAACAGTAGTCATGAGAAAGAATCAGAAGGATTGGAAATTTCCAGGCAGGTATGATGAAATAATTAACACAGTTAGAAACTTCTCTTTATTTCGAGTTTCTTGGAAATTAATCAAAACTAGTCTGTGTGCTATGTTACATATTTTTCAGTAGGAATAGAATAAATGCATTCATATTAATCAACAAAGTTGTTTTCTTGGAACTTAGCTGAAGGAGAAGTCTGTGTGGGTTTGCATATGAACAAGATTGGGGTATATTGGGCAATAAGTTTCTAAAACACTATTTTTAAAAATTCCAGTGGGAGACACCCCACTCCCTGCTTTCAAACAGTACTACAAAGTTAAAGTAATCAGGGATGTCTGTGTGGCTCAGTCAGTTAAGTGTCTGCCTTTGGCTCAGGTCATGATCCCAGGGTCCTGGGATGGTGTCCCACATGGAACTCCTTGATCGGCAGGGAGCCTACACCTCCCTCTGTATGTCACTTCCCCTGATTCTGTTCTCTATCTGACAAATAAATAAATAAAATCTTTAAAAAAAATCTAAAGTAATCAAAACAATATAGCATTGGCATAAAAACACATATATAGGTAAATGAAACAGAACAAAGACCCCAGAAATAAACCCATTCATATACAGTCAACTAATTTATGGCAAAAGGCCCAAGGTTATAAAAGGGGAAAGACAGTCTCTTTAATAAATGGTGTTGGGGGGGCGCCTGGGAGGCTCAGTGGGTTAAAGCCGCCGACTTCAGCTCAGGTCATGGTCTCAGGGTCCTGGGATAGAGCCCTGCATCGGGCTCTCTGCTCAGCAGGGAGTCTGCTTCTCTCTCTCTCTCAGTCTGCCTCTCTGCCTACTTGTGATCTCTCTCTCCATCAAATAAATAAATAAAGATCTTAAAAAAAAATTAAAAAAAAATAAATAAATGGTGTTGGGAAAACTGTACAGCCACATGAAAAAGAATGAAACTGGACCACTATTTTATAGTATACACAAGAATCAACTAAAAATGGATGAAGATTTGAAAGTAAAATCTGAAACCATAAAATTCCTAGAACAAAAAAAAGGTGTGATAACTTTCTTGATGTTAGTCTTGGGGATGACTTTTTGGATTTGACACCAAACAATGACAATAAAAGGAAAGATGAATAAAAGGGACTATGTTAAGCTAAAAATTTCTGCATAACAAAGGAAACCATCAACAAAATGAAAAGGCAACCTACAGAATAAGAGAAACTATTTGCAAATTATGTATCTGATAAGGAGTTAATATCTAAAATATATTAAAAAAACTCATACAACTCAGTATAAAAAAATCTTAATTCAAAAGAATGAACAGAAGTTTTAAATAAACACTTTTCCAAAGAAGACATCTATGTGAACCGCATGTATGGGAATAGATGTTCAACGTCACTAATCAGAGAAATGCAAATCATAATGACAAGAAGATATCACCTCACACCTCACACCATTTAGAATGGCTATTATCAAAAGCACAAGAAATAACAAGTGTTGGCGAGGATGTGGAGAAAAGGGAACACCTATGCACTGTTGGTAGGAATATAAATGTGCAAAACAGTATGTAAGTTTCTCAAAAAATTAAAAATTGAACTACCATATGATCCAGGAGCTCTACTTCTGGGTATTTATCAGAAAGAAATTGAAATTTTAACTGGAAAAGATATATATACCTAATGTTTTTTGTAGCATTATTTACAGCAATCAAGACACGCAACAACTTCAGCGTCTACTGATGGAAGAATGGAAAAGGAAAATGTATCTATACACAATGGGATATTATTTAGCCATAAAAGGGAATAAAATCTTGTCATTTTCAACAGCACGGATGAACCTTGAGGGTATTGTGTTAAGTGAAATAAATTAAACAGAAAAAGGCAAATTCTGTATGATCTTATTTATATGTGGAATCCAAAACCAAACCAAAACAAAACCTGGCTTGTAGGTAAAAAGAACAGAAGAAGAACCCCCAGAGATCGGGGTTGCAGAGTGGGTGACATGAGTGGAGGTAGTCAAAATGTACAAACTTACAGTTATAAATTAAATAAGTCCTGAAGATATAATGTACAGTATGATGAGTCTATTTACTGATACTATATTGTATACTCAGAAGTTGCTAAGATTAGATCTTAAAAGTTGTCATCACAAGAAAAAAATGGTAACTATGTGTGATGATGGATGTTTACTAGATTTATCATGGGGATCACTTGTAAGTGATTACATTTAACAAATAATTATGTTGTATACCTAAACCAATACAATGTTATATGTCAATTATATCTAAAAATGATCACATCACAATGAAAAGATATGCATTTAAGCATGCTTGAATAAAAATCTTCCCATATGTTATAGAATATAAGAGAAATCAAATTGAATAGAAATCTAAGTAAATATAAATTGTGAAGTCAGGTAAAATATTTCTTTTTGTAAAGACATTTCAACAAATATAAGCCAGAATAAAAACCATAATCTCCATTTCATTCATTAATTCATTAAGTGCTTATAGTTCTTCTAGCCTTGTGCTAGATGTGATAAATATAGAGAGACATGCTGTCCTTATGAGATCTAAGTTTGAAGCAGAAGGCAGACACTGAACAAATAATTCTAAATATGACACAAGAATTGCATATAACATGGCAAAGGATACAAAATGCCAATAAACACAGAAACTGTTCACTCTTAGAAATGATAAAAGAAATGCAAATTTAAAATAAGACTAAAATGTTCTTCTGTGAAGCTGTCAAATTAAGTAAAAGTGATAATGATAGATATTGACAAGAGTAAAGTAAGATTGGCCATCTTATATATTTCTATTGAATGTATTGTTTGATACCATATTTCTAGAAAGCAATTTGGTACTATGTGAAAAATACTGTATAAAAAATGTCATTTTCTCAAATTCTGTTTAGGGATCCTTAAGGAAATAATTATATATGGATCATTCTTTATGTAAAAAATGCATTAATGCTTGTTAAAGTTTTATATGTAATTATGAAAAATTGGAACTAAGTCATATGCCAAAATATAGACAGTTTGTGGATAATTTACACATTTATTTCTGAATAAAAATTTCAAAATCCTATGTAGGAAAATTGGTATATTTTATAACTTAAAACTATTACTATTGTTTGCATATTTAAAAGTCTTAAAGGAAACACATGAAATGCCAACCTCAGTGTTGAATAGACCAATTCTAGGTATACCAATCAAATGTGTCTTTGAACTCAGAAAGGAAAATATAGAAAAATATAGACATTAGCATGCAATGCTTACTCGCATTATTGTAGAATCCATTCCCAGGGGAGTATCTTCCCTTTCTCCTCTGTGTCCACACCTGCTCACCCACTTGCCCATCTGATAAGCAGACTCCCAACTTCTTTTTCCAAACATTGCTGCTGTCCTGCCAGGCGTGTTTATGTGCTCAGTTCTGTACTTCCACTGCACCATGTCTATACCACTTTCTCTAGCTGTCTACTTACATTTTCATTTTCTCATTATATCCTCAGCTTCTTTGAAGGTCACACAGTCCTCTCATTTAATTATCTCAGCACTGAGGTTAGCTGAGATTATTAAATATAAATAAATAAATATTTAATGAATGAAATTCAAATTTAGTATATCTTCTTTTGTACTTAAAAACAAATAACCTGGAGAGGAGGGGCAAAATGGCAGAGACATAGGAGACCCCATTTCAACCAGTACCCTATAGTGAGTTAATTGTCTACCAGAACATCTGAACACCCATGAAATCACCCTGGGATGTAAGATTATGCACTTCTGGATCTCTATGGGGGCAGAAGACACCAGTGGAGAGTGTTTCTGTGTATTTGTTTTTGTTCTGTGGTGTCTTCTGATTGCTCAGAAGTGTTTCAGGGTGTACCTTGCCTGGATTGTGGTTGATATATTGAGCTACACATCCCTTCAAC